CAGAGGTAATATCAAAATATTGAGGAACTTCAACACAGCATTGTTAGAGAGTTCGGAAGATTGAGGAGGGGAGAAATCAATCGTGCAGTGAATAATATTCGAAGAAGGGCACAGTTGTGTTATCATGAACAAGGACAGCATTTTGAGCTTTTGCTGTGATTTTCTTTTGTCTTCACATTTCATTTAATTATTGTTATTTGTTCAAAGTTCTATTCTCATTGAAAAGTAGACAATGTGTAATTTACCTCATACACACCTCATTTATCAAATTTTGATTGCTGATTCTGTCTTTTTTTTATTGGCTTTTCAAATGAACCAAACTCGGTGAGATTTTGATCCAATAACTTGAACATAGTTCGATGTGGTTTTCGTCTTTCGTGATACAAGTTTAAATACATTTCCGATGTCCTAACACTGTTTCTATCGTATTTGTAATAAATTTGTATCATATCTCTCTTTTCTTCATTCGTGAAAGCCATTTTTTGCCAAAAATTCAATGACTTATACAATAACAAAATATCATTGAGTGTAACAAATTAAAAGTCAAATTCAGAAATATCAAAGTTAAAGCCTATTATGATAAGAATTAATTTTTTCAATATCTCTAACTTTTCGAAAAAGAATGAAAACTTATGATACATCATTGAGAAGGTGGAATCTAGATCTATTCAAAACAAATAGAATCTAATCTAGCGCCCATAAGAAAAAATGGAGTTGATGATTGGTGGCCGGAAGACAAAACATCGGATAGCAAATCTGAAAACACCATTTTATAGGAGGGAAAAAGTTGCAATGTAGAAGTTCCGGTTTTTTCTCGGAATTTCAGAACTTTCTCAACCGCAAATTGTTAGTCAGGTAAATGCGCAACTTTGCCCACATTTAACTATCTTCCTATCTCTGATAGTTTCTGAGATCCTAATGGTGAGGATCGTATTTGAAGCACCCTGTTCAGCTTCAAAAGGTGAATATTGTTCAATCACTGAAAAATTTTGAAGTATTTCAGCAGGTAACTGTAAAACCGTTTCAACTTACCCACCTGGTCAGTTGAAACGAAGTACGTTGATAAATATTTGGAAGAAGCATGATTTACACAATCTTATAAATTATAAATAACCTCTTTTCATCGAAAGTAATTACCATAAGCCAAACATGTTTTTCCAAAAACTAACCTCTTCAAAGAAGTTACTATACCGTAGAAAGAGCACCTCAGAAGGTAAACACCTGCAAGAGTATTACCGGATAATTTCAATTAGTATGAATATGTAGTACATGCAGTACATACAGTACATACAATCAGTGGAAAATATTACCTTTGTTAAAAAAATAAACATGGTAGTGGAAGGATTCCATCAAAGTATATTACTTGGAAATGATCGCAAATATTAATTGATACAGAATTGTTTACAAAATGTGGATGATACGTTAATAACAGAAGCGAAAGTCCGATCACGGAAAAAACATGTCTCACATTGAAACGGTTCTCTACTTCAACCAAAAAGTTAATTCGAGAATAACGTGCCATCTACGTCGGCGTCGTGCTTTGACAGAGTGAGGTTTTGATGGGCGTTTTATCAGCTGTTCCAATGGAATGTTTCCTGACTTGGTGAATTTTGGTCTTCTGGGATTCCCACAGTCGTTTCTTCTCCTTCGAACTCAGTGAGGTAGTTGTCCAACAGGAGGGCAGTATTGCACTTGATCTTCTGACGGTCCTTTATATGGATCTTTTTTGTGGGCAGACAGAGTGAATATAACTATCGGTGTAGTATGTCCATGTCTATCACCATTTTTGAGGTAGACACTTAGATGTGGCCAAACGTATCGGTCGTGAAAGAACCCCAATAACATTTTCTGACCAATATACTTTTCGTCACAGTTCTCACAGTTTATTTCATACAGGGCGTTCCAACGAAAACCTGACTCCTGTAAGTCAGAAACAGACGTGTAATCGAAAATTTCAAAGAATACGTCATTTTCATTCCTAGAGAGACTAATTCTGATAACGAAATCACACCCGAAACTTCACCCCCCTGCAGCAACTACTGCCCCTATTTTTTGGCATGGCATGGCATGGGGGAGTCGAGTGATACATAATTTGGAAGGTCTTTTGTCCCTCTATTACCTCTATAATTTTTATCGAAATTTGTTTATTCGTTATTGAGATATTAAATGTTGAACATTTTATTTGAGAAAAATGATCAAATTCGCTGTCGCTCATTTTATGGAGGAAATCGATCTACAAATCTAGAAGACTCGACGCAGGTTTTCTAGATTTGTAGAATTTTTTCAATTAGGTAGTAAAAGTTTTGAAATGCACTGTGTTTCAAGATGGTTCATTCTACTGGAGAAAGAATAGAAATTGTAAATTGATGGATGTAGCCGTTACTACGTGGTAGGAGATCATAAAGAAAAGAGAAATGAAAATTTCTATGTTTTTTACCACTTTTAATTGTAACTAACGTTACTGCAGTTCCGTCCTATTTGGACATTCTCAAACTAATACAATAAACTAACAATGATTCATTACATTCGCCAATATATACTATTCAGGTACTTGATTGAGTACCTGAATTTACAGTTCACAATGCGGATGTGCCAATTTAAAAACCGGAGAGTAAATCAAATCGATTTGATCATTCAACAGGTTGCACCAGCAATGTTTATGCTTGTAAATTTCCAAGGATTCTAAATAAATGAGTTTGCAACCCTTCCTTGCATAGTGGAGAATTTCCGTATCGCTTAGATTCGGAAACTTATGGTTGCATGCCAAGAAATGGTTTGAAAACGTCTAATCATTTTTTTTTCTAGTCTGAAGGACCTTTCATGTTCAGCATACCGTTGTTGGAAATTTTGTCCGCATTGTCCCACATAAACACTATTACACTCCGGACACTTAAGCTTATAAACTCCAGATTTTTCCAACTTGTCGACCTTATCTTTGGCATTGAAAATGAAATGAGGTAACCTGGCATGTGGTCTGAATGCTACTTCCACATCGTTTTTCTGAAGAAACCTGCGATTATTTCTATTCTTTCTCCAAAATATGTTAGCGGTATCCATTTCTTGATTTCTGGTTGTTTGACCTGAGGATATATTGATCTGTAAGTGAATTTCCGGCTTTGTTTCCTGACTAACTTCTGGATAGTATCTGCATTGAAACCATTATTATGACCTATCTGTGTAATTGTATCAATTTCCCTAGCTAGATTGTCTGCAGACAAAGGCAGTGAGAATGCTCTATGCAACATTGAGTTGTAGGCTGCTAATTTATGACTGTCTGGATGGAAAGAATCGCTTGGGATGGTGATGTCTGTATAGCTAGGTTTTCTGAAAACATTGAACTCGATTTTATTCTGATTGTTGCTGGAATAGTGAGCCATTGAAAACAACAAAAAACTTTATATTGGGCTCATATTACAAAACAAATGAAAAGAATGAACGGGTATGTTTGGAGACCATAACATATACCGTGTAAAAATATAACATGAGAGTAAAACAAAAACGATAAGCAAAGATGTTCGAAAGGTAAGATCAAAATCCAACAAGAAAGCACGTCTAAAATAGCTGATTCTCAAAAATAAATTTTTCGTATTCGTCATAATCATCAAGTGTTTAAGAAGATTCACTTGGAACTCGTTTAATTGTTTCATCGGTCTTTCTGAGAAAATACATCTTCCACATTTAAAAAAAAATGGCATTTGAAATGGAGAATTCATAAAAAATATCGATAAAACCACTGATTTCGTTCACAAAAAATGATTTGTTTTTCTATTATTGTGTTCAGATAGTTACCTCGTCTCAATTATGAGCAGAATAAATAGTTTTCATATTGTGGAAAAATTTCACAGTAAAAATACTTTCATCTCAATTGATGATTTTTCAATATTCTCTGCACCATTTCGTGTCTTATTATGCCAAGTTTGTGACGTGTCATTTTTGTTTCTGTATTGTGCTTTTTCATCAACGCAGCTAAAATTTGAATCAGTTATTATTCCATCCAGCGACCTCTTTCACCCCTGTCTATGTTTTATACAGGGTTGTAACTAAATCAGTGTAAAACATTTAAAGAGGTGATTCCTCATCGAAAAAAAAG